TGATGCACAAAATTTACTGGAGCAATTTCCTAAGAAGAACAAAACCTTGAGTGACTGTACCTGGATTTTGTTCAAGTGATTGCTGAGGTTTAAATTTGCCACACGTAACTAAAGCAGATGGTATTTTTGTATCAGCCTGATTCATTCTATACTTCAGCAGGATCAAAAGCTTACAAAAGCTTAGGGTATCCAGCTGCTAGAAGAAATACCCTACAAGATACTTCTCTAGAAGGTGAACAGCTGATGGCCTGGATAAAGCCACTGGGCTTCTCTCAGGATCAGAGACTTTACAACACCAAGCATCCCAAGGCAATTCAGTACCTCTCCAGCTTTCTGCTGGCTCTGGCCTTCGTAAGCATACTTTTTATCACCTTTCCCTTCTTTACACACAAGAAAGAGGCTCTAGACATTTCTAAAAGCAAACTGCTGGGAGCAAGGAACACAAAGCTTAAGCTATGACTTACTGTAGCTGGGACAAAAGAACTAAATCCAAATTCAAGAAATTAAACAGGGAAAACCCATTTTAAAGCTTTATTCAACAGGGCATATTGGATACCTTGACCACAGCTCAAAATGCTATTGAAACACACACAAGATAGATTTTTAATCAAACATCTCGTACTGAATTACTGGACTAAGAAGAACAGTCAAGTCTTGGAGTGCAGATGGCTCTCCACAGTATTAAAACTCAAGGAGAAACTTAAAACATGTTTCCCTACACAAAACTCATTGCCTCCTTCCAGTCCTTCCTACTGCTAGATACTGACCTCCATCCTGATGTTTAGGACTCTCCCTACCACTAGCATTCTCTAGAATGTGATAAACACATTCTAACATATACTGCTGCTATCCCAAATATTTCTAAACTATGGCCTGTGTCCTGCTATTTTACTTAGGCCTTGAGAAAAAACAGAGAACAAAGTTCAAATGGTTCCCATCAATTCTTTTGACAATACAAGCTTGTAATAGTTCATCTGACCATGAAATAGAATCTCTGCCATGAAAATTTAGAAAATAAAAATACTCAGTCACATACCTTGAAGCTTGACATTAGAAAAGACGCACACAGCTTTCACGACAATTACTATGGTAACTCTTTATCATGTACACAGAACTGGAAAATTTCAGACTAAAATAACATCACTTCCACAGACGTTGCGCAGGAAAACAAGAGTCTCATGAAAACAAGTATTAATCATTAATACTTTATCTACTTTTAATGCAGATTTGAATGGCTGCCAAAGAGGGGAGAGAAGCATCTGCAGGGCTGCTGTATCTCAAAGTTCTACACTGAAAGTTCATGTATGCTGGACATGAGAAAGCCTGCTAAAACAGATAGGTTAGGGAGAGGATATGGCTATAAAGTAAACAACTCTCTAAGATAGTCGCACTGAATCACCGCCCCACCCTACATTTCTATGTTGATGTTTTACCTCAGAGTTACCTAAAAGAACATTGCCATCCTTTGCCATAATACCAAATGCAGTTTCCTCGTCTTTATATGGACTTCATTTCTAAAGAACAATAATTTGAAAACAAGTCCTTTCCTTTGTGGAGATAGTACAATCCTCACTCAACGTAAGAAATGAAGCTGAAGTCTACTTTGGACAATCACGTATACCGTTATATTAAATAGGAGATTAAAATTTGTTTGTAAAGACTTACAGTGGGACAAAAAAAAAAAAAAAAAATCCAACCAATCACCCACCACCTTTCTGGTACAACTCAATTTAAATACATATTACGTTCTAAACAAGAAAAAGCAAATATTCTAGGTCACTCAAAATTCATAACTGAGATTTCAGCAAAATACTGAAGTTAGCATTCCTTGTTCTACAGACCAGTCTAGCTTTCATGGAATTTGAAACAGCTTTAAAAAAAACAAACAAACAAAAAAAAAAAACACCACGCACACCATGGAAAACCAGAGTTACATGGATGTACTTCATTTTTAAAGTTTACGGTAACTTACTTATTTTTAACTAAGTAAGTCTACTTTTCAAGGACAAGACAGAACCATGAGCTTTTCCTGAAAATAAATAATTAAAATATTTTATGTTTTTAGTGAAGTCTCTTTCTACTTTAATAATGAAAATTATTTTTTTCAGTTCTATGCTGAAGAATGACAGTACAAACTCAATGGCTGAGATAGGAGATGTTATTAATATTACTAATGATATTCATTAAGACTAAGTATTTGTACCCAGAAATTATGTACAAGTTGGGTCAATTAACTGTTTACTTCCTGAAAATCACGGCAAGAAAATAGTTGTGGTTAATAAACAGTATAAAAAAAAGAATTTAGCTTTCAGTTGTATGGACACAGAAGAACTTCCTAAAGTTTTTTAAGTGCTTCAATCATCAGAATAGAAATGGTAATCTTTGAAGGCAAGAAGCCTAGCAATACTTCTCATTCTAAATGTCTTATGGGCAAAGAAAAGGATTGGGAAATTCTGTATATTCATGGGCAACTGAAATTCCTGCAAGTTGCTTTTTAAAATGGGAAACAGTTTGTCTTATATTATCAGTATGTAAACAGCTTCTAATAATACATGAAAGATCTTTTCATAAACATCTTCAGATTTTCAACTGAAGCTTAAAATAACACTTTAAAAATCATACTTACAGAATTTACCTGGATCTAAGTTTCTGTTTAAGAGGAAGGCATCTAACATTTTGCAGTTTAAGCCCTGCAAATTGTCAACATAGTCTAAAGAGCAGTTCAATAGAATGTTGATTACATTCAGTAGCTGCCTGTAATCAGGATCTATAATTAAGAGGCATGGCTGTATGCAAATAGTGTCATTTGAGAGTTTACCTAGGTATTCAAGACAGCTGAACATGACTGACAGATACAACAACATTCTAACAGCAGACTCCTGCCCTTGTACATATGGCTGCCAGAGAATAAGCTGGAGACTGAATCCTCCTGTGCAGCAACAGATGCCTGTCAGCAGGCAATGTACTTGAGCTTTAGGAGTCTACAACAAGCTTAAGAGCATTCTAACTGCACTAAGGATTGACTTAACCTTCACTGACTGCAAGCAGGGCTTAGACACCTTGCATGTCAACACCAGCACACAAAAGCCTTTATGTTTAGGCATCTCAATCTCTTAAAGTCTCATGCCAGTATCCCTCCTCACGTGTGCATTAGTAAGAACTATTTCTGTACTCATGCAGCCAGTCAAAATAACTGAGCACACATCCTCCTGCTGCAATATGAGCATATTGATTCAAAGAAGAGGAAAGGCACAATTAAGGATGAACAACAACAAAACAATGATGATGGCAAATAGGTAGATGTTTCTACTGAGAGGAACCAGTGAAGTTAGACCATAGGAAATCTCATCCTAGATCTAGCACTCCCTGGTACTGATCTCTGTATGATCACATAGGGCGCAGAAGTTAATAAAATTCTCTGCAATTTCTACAAGTTTTTTCCCCCTACAGTTTGCACCCCACTTTTTTACAATAGTGATAAGATTTTCCTGCCTGTCTGCTCCTAAAACAGATTATGCTGAAAGTTACTACTCTGCTGGGGTATGCTGCCTACAGGTACCTCAAGGAGCCATTTCATGTAGCAGATGAGCTCCAAGAAGTGAGAAGTTGTTTACAGGCATTAAGACACACTCCGAAAGGAACTGAGGTGGGGGAGATGGGGATCCAGCCTCAGGTGGAAAGCACATAGGCAGCAGCACAAGTAAACACCAACTTACAGGGTAGCCCACAGGCTCAGGGAACACCCTCCAGGTTCTCAGTGGAACTTGCTCAGAACAAGAGTGCCACTCAGAACTACAGTCCCTCTATTGACCGCCAACAGCACAAAGGCTTCAGATATCTCTATGCAGGTCACAAGCCAAGAGCCTATTACCATAAAATACAAGCTCTATGGAAAAGTTGTCATTCCAAATATCATACAGACTACATACGTCATATTAAATGGAGTCTGGTACCCTGCAAAGAAGAGTGTCAGAAAATCCTACAGCACTGATGCACAGCATTCAAACTTGAGTGTGGAGAGGATTGGTAACACTATAACCATTTTTTCCAACAGAAAGGGACATGAAGAATCAAACAAACAAAAAAAAAAAAAAAAAAAAAAAGGAAAATGTTTCCTTAATGGAAATTTTAACTTAAAAAAGCAAACAGTAACACTGCAAAATTTTGATTTGCAATTATGATTCTGAAATATCAAACACCATCAAACAAACATCATAAATTCTGGCTCAGACAACATTCTTTGCTAAGATGGACCCCCCAAACCAGAGTTCACTTCCTGTAGTGCATCTTAGGTATATAAAAATAGTTTTTCCAAGTCATTTCACTGAGCTTGGATTTGGTATTGGCTTCCCTGCCACCACCCTTTCCCTTCTGTTCCTTTACTCTTCCACATTTCTTTATCCTGCTACTGAAACAATTTACATGTGGATTTTACTATACCAGATGCTTCCTCTTTGCTGGTCTATTTCTATATTAGAACTGAAGTTAGGTTCCTGGATTTCCACATCTTCAATTACAACTCACAAAACAAGGTCCTACTATTCTTAAATGCAGCAGAACTAATCCAAGGAGCACATATAATTAATCACAACAGCTAGCAGCACAATATTTAAAATAACTGAGGCCTGCCTGGATTATAGCAACATTAATAGTATGTGATTAATAAGCAGTTGAAGAATTGCATTTGCTACACATTTGCTAAGTTATTTCATCTTGCTTTAAAGTTAGGTGGCAACGTTTCAAGCCATAGTTAGGAGATTTGCTTTGTTCAGTACCACGTTGTTAACCCTACCATCTGGTCAAACAGCTGAGGGAACTCAGACAACCGTATGGGAGGCCCCATGTTTCTATCTGGGGAAGTATTTGTCTTACTGAATTATGCAATGGTTACCAGTTTCAAACTTAATGCAGTATGATCAAGAGGACTCCACATCAAATTACGTTGTAGATAAACTGAGTTTTGTGGGCTTAACTTATGAAGGAAATAAGATGGCACTTACTTGAGGACCAGGCTGACCCTGAAAAATAAGAAAATGATAAGGTTATGGAAAGCAGTGACAAAGATTAGGTCATTAAACACTAGCAAAGAGTTAAAGAACTTTATGAAAGAAATAACAAACAATCCAGTAATAGTAATGCAATCAGAGCCTAGATGTTCAAGTCCAATATTTAATTTCAGTGTTTTAATTCAAACTGAAACTCTGTTGCAATTAAGCGATTCCAGAAATAAATAACACTAACTCAACTGAACCAGTATTTGAGAAACTTCATACTTTACATAGTAACAACAATACAAGTTAGAAATTACAGAAAGACACAATTTAACAATTCTTAAGTGAGAAAGAATCTACAAATATTGAACTGATTTATAAGTAGGTATTGGACGCTTTTCCTCTCTTGAAATGCAGGAATGAGCCACAATGAAGTGCTAACTACTGGCTATTGAACAAAGTCAAAAAATTGCAGACACAGAAGGCTGAGGAAACAAGACTGTCTTTTTGCCATTCTTGCAATTAGCAGTTTTCAACAAGCATAAACTGGTATTTAAACCAGAAAAAAAAGCAACCAATGAACACCTGAGGTGGCAGCCCAAGAGGCAGCTTGGGAATGTACTCATCCTTGTTGTTTCCCTTACCTACCAATATAACATTTGAGACTACCCTGTGCACAAACAGAGAGACGCCTACTGCAAACCGAGGAGCTGTGTACATCTATTAATTCTGTAAGTGCTTCCAGAGTAGATTTCCTATCACTAATGCTCCTACTCTAGGAAAGTCACTGAGTCACCAGTAGTTCTAGCTCACTTGTTACAAATTATTTGCATGAATTAGAAACATAACGCAAAACAGTTAGAGTAGCTGTGAACCACAACCATCTGGCCAACTTGCACTCTAAGACATAGATGTCTGCCTCCTTAGAAAGGGACAAATTCTTAAATTAAAAAAAAAAAAAAAAAAAAAAAAAGCTAGCCTAGCCCTTGGAATTTAATTTCCCTGAACTACATAGGTTGCTTCAAAATTAATGCCTCCTATTTATTTTCATGGAAACCAAAACAGATACAAAGAGCACAATAGAACTATTTAATAGAGCAAGTATTCAGCTACACAACTGTTTTTCAACTTAGTCTCCACTATTAGCTGTGCATTTTCACCAGCCATCAACTGTATGCCACATTCATAAAAATCTGCACTAGCAGAGGTGACCTACTATTGCCACTGCTGAAAACACTCCTCTGCCCACTGTTTGGCATCCACAAACATTCAGCAAACATTGATGAATGCCAATGGGTGCCATTTCTTCCCCATGGACAAATTCAGTTCCGCACGTTTGCTTAACATGCTCTCCCATGTCAGAAGATGCTTTGTCAGACTGCCCCCTCTGCTGCCATCTGTCACACAGTAATAAAATGGAACAGAACATCAGCAGGAAGGTTAGGCATCTACTGCCATACCATCATCTGCCTCTGACACTATGGGCCAACAAAATAAAATAGGAGGCATTAATTTAGGAGTAGCCCTCTTGTTTTCTGTGAACAATTTTTCTTCAACTTTCCATCTGGAAAGCAGCTTTGCAAGGAAGGACAGGGGAGTTCTGGTGGACATCAAGCTGAACATTGGTCAACAGTACACTGTAGCCACAAGGAAAATCAACAGTATTCTGGGTGGCACGAGGCAAAGGATTGCCAGCAGGTCAAGGGAGGTGGATCCTTCCCTTCTACTCAACACTGGTGAGATCTCGTTGGTGTGCTGAGTCCAGTTCTGGGTTCCTCAGCACAGAAGAATATGAATATACTACAGGGAGACCAGTGAAGAACTACCACGGAAGCAAAGGTTGAACAAGCTGGGACTGTTCAGGACACAAGCAGCCCAGAGACTTTGTGGAATCTCCTTCCTTGCAGATCTTCAAAAGCCACCTGGGCAGCCTATTCTGGGTAACCCTACTTGATCAGAGGCCAGACCAGATAATCTCCAGAGGTTCCTTCCTTTCCACCTGTATTAGTGAGTGATTCTGTGAGACTTTGAAAAAGAAAATGCATTTCACCAAAGACATGCTATGTACAAGAAAAGCAGCTGAAGAACAGTTTATTTTTACTTTAGCAGTTATTTTTTGTGCTAATTAAAATTAAACAGAAAAGCATTCTTAATCTACATGCAAGCTTAAAAAAAATATATATAAGATATTAGAAAATAACGTTAGAGAGGGATCATAGTGACAATATGGAGTTACTGTGGCTAACCTAATCCTTACACTGAAGGAGGCCCAAAGCATTCCTTGTTATAGATGCTGTAACCTTGTAATAGTTCCATGTGAGAATATTGTTGTATATGCATTTTCAGACAAAAAACTGATAAAAGCTTGCCAATTCTAATACAGAGATTTCACAATGGCTCAGTTCTATGAAATTACATGTCTCACTTGGTTAATAAACATGCTAGGAGCCCTCTGCACTCAGCTTTTACCTTAATCTTCCCATCAATGCAGGTTTTAAGCCATTATATGCTCCACTTGATCCTAAAAATCACTGAAATTGCTTACTGATGCAGTATTGAGCAAGCTGTACAATAAATCGATATAAATGAACTGAATACATACAAACTTTCATATATAAAATACACAGTATATTTGTCTCTCAACAATATTAAAAGATGTAATACATTTTGACCAAATCATGAAAAGGTTTCCAAGGGACACAAAAAACTTGAAATCTGAAATCAACAAAATGCTAATTTAAAGTTGTAGAAGGCAAACAGGAAAAAAAAACAAGATCTGAAAACTGACACATTATTCTCCATGCTTAAAGACATGTAGGACACTCAGCATTCACACGGTACATGCTATGTATAAGATAAGAGACAGACATACATGATAGAAACACACTCTGACAAGGGTGAAAGAAGATCAGGCTCCTATGAAAGCACTTTCTACTGTCAGCCTCAGGAGCACAACCAGCCTTCTCAAGTGTATCTATAATTACTAGCTTAACATATCTGAAATACAGAAGGAGAAATTAGATTTTTTAAAAGACACTTGTTTTTCGTGGTGACACAGAACTCTGAAATAATGATAAATATAATAGTTGAGTTACTCTTAATTTCTGTAGATCTTCTACCTTGCAGTCATCCAGAACTTAACAGAAAATATGGATGCTGAATACAGAAGTACTCTTAGCACAATTTTTTGATCCTGCTAGCTACAAGACCCTTGAACATAGAAGGAACTTTGCCTTAATGATGATAATTATTTTCTGGTTTTACTCATTCTCAATCCTTCAACATTTTTGGACACTCTTAGATTCTCCTTGCCCTACTAAACAGGGAATGCAGTTTCAGTATAGTTTTCTCACAGATGATGCACTAAGTGACATTAATGAGAGAATGCAGCAAGGACTGTATTACAGAAATCAGCTCTGCTTGAGAAGCTACAGGCACAAAGAAGCTCAACAACTGGGAGACAAAGAAGAGGAGTTCATTTTGCCTTTTCTCAACATTGTATACAGTGCAAATTAAAAAACAACTTTCAATTATGATCGAGTAATATATTTCCTTGGAGGAAACTCAATTAATACGTTTGTGCTCCCAGGAGGCCTCCAAGATAACCAAAATCACTCTGACTCAGTATTACACGAATTAGTCCTAATGCACATGGCTTTTGGATTAAAAGGTTTTAGTTAGTCATAATTATCTTACTTTAGAATAAAAACAAAAATGGGTGAAAATACTCTAAGACTGAGAAGTCACCAAGCCAGCATTACTCCATTTTAAAAATATTAATGAATTATCTTTTATTCTTATGTTATTTTGTGCAAAACTCAGACATCAATTGCAAATACTGAAAGGGGAATATATGGAATATATGTGGATGGAGATTCTGTTTTAGATCTCAGTGAAGGTGAGCAGGTTTGTATTAACAGAGTTCACAGTAGAGTTTGGCCATATATATTTTTAAACAGTGTAACTTATGTACTTTTCATTTCTTTGAAACTGAAGCCCAATCTTCCTCAACAAAACATCTTGTCAATCTCCATATTAACTGGCTCTCAGGGACTGCCATATCAGCCTTGCTTAGATCCATACTCTGAAAGTGGTTTTAGTCTACTCTCTAGGATCAGATCAGGTTTTGAAAAATCTATCTGGGTTGCTGCTTCTTTTCAGCAGTGTTTTAAGTGATTGCTCTGAGTAGAAGGCAGAATAGCAATGAACCCTCTTATTCTTCCACTGATGCATCTCTTCAAGGCTAACAAAGTTAGCTTGGTAATAATGTAAACAGAAGCAAGAGATGCACAGGAAAGATCACCTGCACTGAAATAATCTGACCATCTGAAATAAAAAAAAAAAAAAGCGGTGCATTATTTTGCTTGAAATTGTGATAGGAAGTATCAGGAAGAAGTCAACAGCAGGCAAGAGGACACCTGGAAGCAGTCTGCAACCTCCAGCTGTAGTTCCAAAAACAGCAGATGCCCATATTCTTCAGCTTGGGTTGGAAAGTTTAATAGGGTTTCATTTTTTGTTCTTAATCTGTTTCATTTAGTGTGCTGTGTCTCCCTACCAGTCTGTTCTCTGTATACACTTACATAGCAGTCTGAGCATTATTAAGTTACCTGGTGTATTTATGAAGTTAATCTGCCATTCTTATTGTATGCGTAGCTGCTCTCAGGTTTTCAGCAGTCTTCAGAAGACATTACCTTTCTGTGTTTTTTTTTTTATTGCATTTACCAACTTAATATGCTATTTGGCAGGAAAGAAAGTGGTTCAGTTTGACAGCCAATTCTAATTACCTTGACTGAAGGACTTGTACTCTTGGTTGCTGACCAACTTCCATGCAATTTAACTTAGCAACTGTGGATATGTAAATGACAGTAAAAGAGGAAGATAAAGATATACAGTCTAGACAGGTCAAGATGAAGTCGACAGGTAGGCTATTAATCTGCTAGAAGAAAAGATTAAAGGACATCTATTGACCAGAAGCAGCAAGCATTGCAGAAGTGTTGTATTGCAATAAAAAGAAACTTTGAGACCAT